ATGCAATTAAAAACAGACAGTCAATTTATTTAATCAATGACTACGAAATTAAATCTAATAACTACAAATTGTATGTTCCAAGCGTACATTCAGGGTACATAAAGAAGCATTGGTAATATATTCATAATAGCTTTGTTTGGGCCTAGATGGCACGTAATTCGTCCAGAGTTATATATTATGAACTTATATAAAAATAAAGGCGACAATTTTTATCAAAAAACCAACATACGTATTAGCAATTAGAGCGATAAATATAATCTAACCTTGACTGCTAATTGACTATATCTGCTTCATACTGGTGACGGTATAGGGAACTAAAATCATAATAATCAATACAGGTAACCTTTTATAGTGACTTAGTAGTATGTAGCGATAAGTAACCAGTATAATACTCATGATTAGGGCCCTCACTGGACACAGCAAATTAAATAAAAACATGGCAAACTTTGGCCTGTGCTTAACATTCGCAGATTTTGCCAAGCTAAAGAGGAAACACCATTACAAATCTATGTGGTTGTACTACTGTGGCTACTCATGCATATACTGAGACAAAAACCATCAAAAACCACCGCTTTTAAGAAGATCTTTCATGCCGTGTCCGTGACGGGTCTATATGACGAAATTTTAAAAAAGGCGAGCACAACAGACTTATGTAGGTTGCATTGTTACAGGTCCAAAACACCTGGCAAAAGCTAAAACCCCTCAATAACAAACAGTACAGTATTTAATCAAGTGAATGCTCAAAATTCTTAACACATCAGTTTTATAGTATCTTCAAAGTCGTTCAGACGCGAGGACTCGTCCAGATTTCATAGAGTATATGGTACTCAAATTTTCTTACATTGGGACTACCTTCTGATACATCCAGTCATTTACCCAACACTAGTAAGTTCAGAACTAAATATTATAATCCGCTCAGTCTAACAACAAAGCACCACTTGAATACAATGCAGTACACCTGCACTGATTTACATATACATAAGCCTGCTCTGTTGCGAACGTATAAGAAAACTATTATATATGCATGACGGTATGGAGTGAGATATTAAAACGCGGTAAAGGCTTCTTTATACTAGCGCGCAAGAGGTATACAGATATTGCAGTAGTTATTTTCTATTTTGTGTGATAGTGCTTGTATTATCTCACTAGCTGGTGCCCGCGAACTTGTTCGCGCTGGATTAGTACTTCGTAGCCCATTTGATACAATACTGTTGCTGGCACAGCTTGTCTACCATTATTTTTATAAATGTTGTATTTTTGATATCTGTTTTTTATATATCACTTTTGACTGTTATTGTTATTCTTAGCTATGAGCCCTTTTGAGAAATATACAGGTTTATAACTATTATTTGATTTTCAATAAAATAATCATTGTGTTCCCGATCCAGTCACAAATACCTTTAAAAATTACAGCCTGTATGTTATTTTGATGTATAAGTTATATTGTAAAGTTTCATAAAAATAAATTTAGTCGTTTTTGCTTGAAAGATTAACAGATACTTACAAACTTTCGTGTTTATAATATTAAGGATGTAGTAAATATAATTAATATAGAAAATATTATATACGTATATATCATGTGTCAACCGTAATACAACTCATGCCTTACCATACCAGAGTACTAAGATATCGTGCCTCTTGTCCTGTAATGTAAGAAGAGACAGAACTAAGTACTCACCCAGTCGACAACTCTCCACTTTCGCCTACGCCTGATTGAAAATTATTTAGTTACTTAACCAGTTCACACGAGGAACTAATTAACAACATTATAGAAGAAAATATAGATGGAAAGAGAGGAAGGGGAAGACCAAGACACAGCTATATCAAGCAAGTTAAAGAAAAAGTTGGAGTCGTGTCGTATCAACAGCTGAAAGGACTGATGGAAGATCGTGGAAGGTGGCGGGAGCTCCACCGACAAGAGCACAGCTCTTAAATTATGAATGAATGAACCAGTTCATTGTGTATTTAATATTTTGACTCTAATGAATTAGTTCGTTTTGGTAGTTTGTATTCATATATTTCAATTTAAAAATGTAAAGTTACAACAATTATTTAAAAGAGCAACCCAAGTTTTTTTCTCATTATTCTCGTGGTGAGATAACTTTCCGAATGAACGGCAGATTAAAATATAAGTATAAATATTCAAAAGTGCATAAATTTAAAGTTTATTTGAATAAAGAATTAATTTAATTTCTATTCTATTCTCCCTCAGAAGCAAAACAACTGACCGCAACGTCGAGAACAGATCAACCGATCGAATTACCGAGTATGAAGATATTACAGACTAGCTGTACCCGCGACTTCATCCACGTGGAATTTTACTTCATTTTCTAAAATAAAAGTATCCCAAGTTACTCATTATTACTTCAGTTACCTGCCAATAAGTCTCGTCAAAATCGGTCCAGCCACATCAGAGATTAGCCGGAACAAACAAACAGAGATACAAAAATAGTAAAAAAAATTATTGTGGTGTATATAGCGTATTTATATTCATATGCCTGTAGTAAAAATGGGTTATTTCAATATTACAAACAGATACTCCAATTTTATTTGTATGTATAGATGTATAGATAACTGTGTATAAATGAAGTTAAATATAGAATTGTATTGGCCTTCGCAATACGCTGAGTCTGAACCGATCGCTCAAAAGATATCAAGATTCCGAGTTATCTCGTATTATTGCTATCTATCAAAATAGAATATATTTTTATATTTCTAACTGTGCTCGAGACTTTGCCCCTATGATTGTACATAACAATTGAAGAGGAAAATGTTGTATATCATTACATCCACAGGATTACAACTAAATCGTATTCAAAAACTATATCTTATTAATATTATAAACGCGAAAGTTTGTGAGAATTAATAGATATTTGTTACTCTTTCAAGCAAAAATTACTGAACGTATTTTGACGAAAATTTACAGTAATATACCGTAGTAGTAGTACCTTATACGAATCAGAATAACATAATAACATAGGCTACAAAATTCACTAGGGTGAAACCGCGGGCGCAACTAGTTTGTAAGAAAACGTATTTTGATATTACTGATATATAAATAATAATAGACAGATGAATCAGTCAGGGGCTTTTGTTTTCTGTTTATTTGACAAATTAAAAAAAAAATAGAAATGTTCGATTTCTGTGTAAGGTAAGGTTAGTAAAACAATAACCCTACATCCAAGTGTGACATTTTAATATTATTGCGAAAGAGATAGATCAGTCAGGGACTTTTATTGTTACATTCTTTGACGAATTAAAAAAAATCAAAATGGTAATATCTGTGTAGGATAATATAATATAATAACCCTATATTTATAAATAAATAAAAATAGCAGTTGACATAAAATTTACAATGTGCACTCATTGTATGTATGTATACATACAACAACTAGTTGTCAAGTTGCAAAAGGCTGCACCGTTAATTAGCACGTTCATTTAACGCTCTAATGGGCCGATAATCAGATCATCGGATTTCAACAAACACATCGATGCAACCTGGTTATTTGAGACCATGTGTTTATAAAATCAGCTTCAAAATCACCATGACAATCCCACGAGTAAATACAAAACGCGAAACATTAAGTCAATAGCGTCATCGACGTCATTAGGGAACCTGGGTGGTCTAGCGGTTTGAGTATTGCCCCATTTTCAGATGGTCGCGGGCTCGATTCTAGGAGAGTTCAAACATTTGTATTGTATCCGTCAGCGCTTATCTCTACTGTTATCCGTACTAATATTACATGTGGAAGTCTATGCATTATTCGCATTATTTGATATTATATTCGTTCATAATTTAAGAGCTGCGCACTTATCGGAGAAGTTCTGGCTATTTTGCACGATCTTCCATCAATCTTTATAGACGTTGATACGACACGACGGTATATATAGACAACACGACATAGACAACACGTGGTTATCAAAATCACTATCGCGATTATCTTTGAAAGTCCTCAAATATGAATAATTTACCTCGTTTTTGCGGCATTTTTCAATAATCCTTCGCTTCTATTGATCGTATACAAACAAACGTCGACAAATGGAATATCCAACACATAAATAATTTTTCAATTCGAAGCAGTAGTTCCTGAGATTAGCAGGTTCAAATAAACAAACTCTTTAGCTTTATAATATTAGTATAGATAATAAAATTTTACGTGAATATAGTATGTGCAGTCCACATTATACAGTTTATATTTAGATAGGCTATTTATTGTCTCAAAAAACAGACAAAATCGCTAGTATGTACCGTCCACACATACAATTTATATTCACATCTTATCTAAAAAAAAACCGACAATATCGGTCTGTACATATGATACACGCACAAAATGTGACAAGCCCCGCAAGGAACAACAGCGCATTGGAAAGTCCAATATTCATACTTTTATTGCATCGCTACGCGCCATGTAATAAGGGTTTATACAAGATGTATTTATAACCAATTTTCACACTGCGCCATATTGCGGTTCCACGCGCGTTGTATATGCAGCAAAGCATAAATTAATTTATAAAAAAATACTAGCGACTCGCTCCATATAAACTCATGGCATTATGTTGTTGTTTAACATTATGTTAAAAAAAACAGATTATGTTATATTAATAATGTACATAGTTGTTTGTAGTGAAAACAATTTTTAAAACTGGCTTATTTTATACTACGATGGTGGCAAATAAGCATACGGTACATCTCATGGTAAATGGTTACTGTAGCTTATGGACGCCTGAGACACCAGACGTGCGCGTTACCAGCCCTTAAGAAACATTAATATACCTTTCTTGAAAAACTAACTAATTATAATGTTACTTGGAGACTCTCTTATTCCTTTAAACCTCTTATATAGGCCGATGTGAAACTGTTGCATCCGGACTTGATGTCGTGGCAAAGGGGCCCCGAGGCCCCAACCTTATTTCCCTTTAGGGCGGTAAAGATAACTGTGTCTCTCTGTGCATTAATAAAACAATATTTATAAAAAATCTTGATAATAAGGAGTACTCACCTATTGCAGCTACAGGCAGACAATTGAAGCAATCTGTGAATGTTTTCCATAACTTGATGTTATACCTCCTTTTGCATTCATCGTAGAATCTGTGGGCAAGAAATTGCAACCTTATTAATATGAACAGAGAGTTGGTTACTCTTAATCTTTATAAACCTTTAAAGGGGGAAATGGCAAGACAAACCCTCAGATCAATTTAGTATGAAATTTAAAAATTTATATTAAGATTTCTACCCTATTTCTTGGCGAGTTTGGTTCAGTTTCAAATATTTGACTTTGCCGTGATTTTACTACTTTGGCTTTGATGTAACTGTCGCCTACATATAATACGTGAGCATCACTGCGGCCATCACATTATCACGAGACAACCGTGATAACGTGTTGCCATTCCAGAGGACTGATGACATGCCTATTATCTAGTAGTTTCATAGATATATCTTGATATACATAGGTATTATATTAATATAAGCACATTTATATACTGAATATAAAAATGCATACATTTATTAATGTAAATGTTTGTTATTCTTTTACGCAAAAACTACTGAACGGATTTTGATGAACCTTAACTGTAGTATAGCTTATGCATCAGAATAACACATAGGATATACTTTATATTGAAATTTAACGGGTAAAACTGCGGGCACAGCTAGTATGTACATATACGCAAATGTTGCAACATCTATTACACAGACTTAGGATTTTTTTTGCAAAACTTCATTTATAGAACCAATCAAATTTTGTTATTGTTTATAAAAAACATGGTCTGCAGTAATAAAACTGGAAGTATACAACGTAAATGTGCTTGCATATCATCTACAATGTATTGGATGGTGTCCAAATTTTTTTATACCACGGATAGTGGGGTAACAAGTGATCCGATGGAAATAACCACTTTTAGAGGTGGGGAGGGGATTGTTAGTAATAGGGAATATTGGCCCATTGTTATCGACTACCATAATATAATTGTTCAAATACGACAATGAGCACGTGACACCCACAAGGGGTGTCAGAGGAGCTCCCGCGTACACTTAGATTGTGGAATGAACTACCTGTCGATATTTTCTTACAGAATGGGGTTTTCAAGATGGGTATATTAAGATTTCTTAAGTGTCGACAACGCGCACCTGACACCTCTGGTGTCTCAGGCGTCCATAGGCTACGGTAACCGTTTACCATCAGATAGGTCGTGTGCTTGTTTACAACCATCGTAGTATAAAAAACAAATACATTTTACTTATAAATAAGTACATAATAAAAAGACTCACCGAAACTTTGTATTGACAAAGGGAAACGGATACAAATGTTCGTATAGTATGTGGATTGAATTTGCGACTATCGGAAAGTAAGACAGTGTGTTAAACCAGTAGACCACCGAGTTCATGGAGGGTTATTTACATACAAGTACATTAATTATAACAAAAATGTATACCTACTACAAATTGTAACTATTTTTTATGTGTACAGAAAACAGGTTCAAATTAAAATTTCCAAGTCTCCATTCTGAGAACACATTAAAAACAAAGGGGCTGAATTCTTCTGTTTCTTTGATTAAAACTTCGAAACTATTTCAAGGATTTTCCTCAAGATTTTGACGTGGTTTTCCTCAATATAAATGTTTAATTTATTGTGCGAGTTGCAGATTCTTGACGGAAATTGATTACTAGCTGTTTACTGCCAGTTTACCATCGTGGAATATATTATTCATTATAAATAATGATTATCCAAAATGATCCAAATGTTTCGGAATTTGAAAGAACCATAGGTATATATACATCATAAAAAAACATACAAAGCAAACAAGAATAAAACACTATTATAATAATATGTAAAAGGAGTTTAAATATATTACACTAGCTGTGCCCGCGGTTTCAACCACGTAAAATGTGTTTATGTTATTCGGATGTATAACCTATATTATTGTAAAGTTTCATTAAAATCCATTCAGTAGTTATTGAGTGAAAGAGTAATAAACATCCATCTATCTATACTCACAAACTTTTGCGTTTATAATATTAGTAACATAAATAAATTTAAAATTTCGCCTACGTACATGAACAGCATCAGACACATCATGTAATCATTTAACCGTCGTGATACCACTCATACGTTGCCATTCGAGAGGACAAGATGTCAAGCCTCGTATTCTGTAATCTCACTACCATAATCCACTATCTCAGCCTCGTATCCTGTAATCTCACTACCATAATCCACGATCTCACTATAACTACTTTCCCTACCCTTCAACTTAACTACTGCTCTAATGTTGTTGGCCGCTGCTGGCTTTTACGCTTCACCGGACGATAGGGGCAGTGCACTAGTGCAGATGGCACTCCAAACCTGCGGAGGACTTATGGAGCGGCTGAAGGCCAACTCCCGCCTAACGGATTCGACTTTAGTTTGAGGGCACCGCTAGGGATTCGAACCTCAGCTCAGGGAGGGCCCTTTAATCAAAACACACACTACTTGGCTGAAATCGATAAAACTGAGTTAGGTACCAACGCCGATGATTTTTTAGAAACTCTATCTAGGAAAGCTAAGTTGTGAGCGGTTGGATAAAGTTTGTTTGTGTAGGGAGATCACACGACCAACACGACTGATAGGCCCAACCTATCAGATGTCAAATCGTGTCTTTTACGCTGTGCATGATTCGATAAAATAATTGTGAAATATCGTTATCAGATAAAAATAAAATGAATGGAATACGATAATGTGACTCATAGGTATGGTATAATATAAAGTCAAGTGGATGATAGGTTACGCTCATATTTGGTTATGCATAATATATTTCAATATATTACGACAAAGGAATATATATAAAAAGACGGTAGATTTGACATATCATAAGAGTCTGTAATAGACCTACATGAATAAAGATTTTTGAATTTAAATTTAACTCTTATTAACAACAAAAATACATATTATTAATAAAAAATATCATTAATAAGCTGTGCCTTGACCAAATAAAGAAAAAATATTCAATAATCTAACTTTTTTTCTCATAAAATGTAGCCTATGTCCGGATATATATACATAAAATCGGTGTGTCTGTTTGTAATTTATAATTAACAGCTTTTCACTAAACACATATATAAATACATTAAAAAACAAATAAAACATTTTTTGTCTATCTGCTTATCTATATTATATATATTATATGCTAATATTTGTAACGGGTAGACCGATTTTGACGGGACTTTCACTTGCATATAGCTAATATAATTAGGAGTAATTCAGGGTACTTTTATTTTTTAAATATTATTTATTTTAATTAAAAAGTTAAATTCCACGCACACTGAGTCGTAGGTTACAGCTAGTTAATATAATCCAAGCACTTTTTAAAGTGACTTGAATGGCAAACATGTTGGTAATTGGTATCTGATGGATGGTATGGCGAAAATGTCAAGATAAGAAATCGTCGAACATCATTTAACAAGTACATATATGTAGGTACATGTATATCGTATGTTGCAGTCAATCTCCGGCCCATTACAGTTCATTGACATTTGGTTACGAAAAAAAAGTACACAAAAAACACGCGTCACTCATTATTGTGGAATGCGTTACATAATTTGGAGACTGATCTGTTCACGTGTGGGTACAGTCACGTTTCTAACCGACTACAAAAACTTAATAAATTTATATTATTTTGTTTAATTCCGCTACATTAGACATATTAAAAGAGTCTGTAATAGACTCTACAATAAACATATCTTTATATATCGTCTATCAAATAGAAAAATGACATTTCTCAAAATTAGAAGCTAGGAATTTCCCCTTTTATATAAGTCAATTAAATTAACCACGCTGTCTTAATCAATATCTAAATACTTTTAAAATGATATATAATACTTGTGTGTAAATTAAAAACTTTAAAAGAGGAAATAATTTAAATAAATTTAAAAACTTTAAATGCTTGTCTACAAGACAAGACAAAAATGTACATTTGAATACTGCCATTTTTCTATTTAACCGACGATATTAATACAAGCGAGATTATCATTCCGTCAAAAAAAATCGTTCATAATTACATAAGGACAAAAAAGTTTCTTAAATTATAGTAGATATATATATATACAAGAACTGGCTTTTGCCCGCGGCTTCGCTTGCGTTAACTTATCCACTTAGGGGTAATTTATCAAAATCCTTACTTAGGGAATGCCTACGTCATAGTAGCTTTATGCATGCAAAGACAGCCCGATCGGTTTAAAATTGACAAAGTTTCATACAAACTTTCATCCCCTATTTTATCCCCTTGGGAATAGAATTAATAAAAATCCTCTCTTAGCGGATGCCTACATCATAACATCTACCTGCATGCCAAATTTCAGCCCGATCCGTCCAGTAGTTTGGGCTGTGCGTTGATAGATCACTATGTCAGTCACCTTTGAGTTATATATATTTAGATAGCAGGTATATTCCCGGCCTATTATACTAAACATACTCTAGTATGTACTTCAATTTGTCTAAAACTATGTATTTACGTTAAACTATATTAGTATTTATATAAGTAATTCTAAAATGGCGGTACATTAAATAATTATAGGACCCTTTTCACATGAACTTGTCTGAACGAAATTCATCAAATTTCATCAATATTCATTAAGTACGAGGTTCAAATTTAGTTAAAATTACTATGTTATATTAGCATATACACTATATCTAGAAAGTTCATTGTTTATAAATGCATGAGTACATTATTTAGGTACTAGTGGCACGTGCAGGGTTCTCACGTGTGGACACTTACAGCGCATGAAATACTTCCAATTTTTAAGATTAGGAAGTTTTAGTAGGAATACTATTTTTTTTCTGATAATAAATATAGCCAGTGTCATTGAGGGATAATGTAGCATTCCAATGGTGAAACAATTTTAAAAATCCGTCTTGTAATTTTTGAGTTTGTTCGTTAAACATTAATATTTTGGTATGTTTGTAACGACTTATATTCAAATTAAATTTCAAAATTCAATATATCTTTATTCATGTAGGTCTATTGCAGACTCTTATGATATGTCAAATCTACCGTCAGTTCGCGAGTGATTTCCAGATGAGAAGAATTGATAAGAAACTCAGCTCGTATTCTTTATAA